AATCCCAGCTACTTGGGAGGCTGAGGCAGGAGAATTGCTTGAACCCAGGAGGTGGAGGTTGTAGTGAGCCAAGATCGTGCCACTGCACTCCAGCCTGAGCAACAGAGTAAGTCTTCTCAAAAATTAAATTAAATTTAATTTAAATTTAAAAAGACAATAACAAGAACTGGCAGGATATAGAGAAACTGAAAACCTCATATACTGCTGCTAGGGATGTACAATGGTGATGTCCCTTTGGAAAACAGCCTGGCAGCTCCTCAGAAAAGGTTAAACATAGATTACCGTATGACCCAGCAATTCCGCTCCTAGGTATATACGCAAAAAAATGGAAAACATGTGTCCACACAAAAACTTGTACACAAATGCTCACAGCAGCATTATTCACAGTAACCAAAAAGTGGCAACAACACAAATGTCCACTAACTGATAAATGGGTAAACAAAGTGTGGTCTATCCATACAAGGGAGTGTTGTTATTCAGCCATATAAAGGAATGAGGCACTGCTATTGCTACAATATGGATGAAACTTGAAAATATTATGCTAAGTGAAATAAGGCAGACACGAAGGTCACACACTCTAAGATTCCATCTGTATGAAAGATTCAGAATGGCCGGGCGCGGTGGCTCACACCTGTAATTCCAGCACTTTGGGAGGCCGAGGCAGGTGGATCACCTGAGGTCAGGAGTTCAAGACCAGCCTGACCAATATGGTAAAACCCCCTCTCTACTAAAAAATATAAAAATTAGCCAGGCGTGGTGGCATGTGCCTGTAGTCCCAGGTTCTTGGGAGGCTGAGACAGGAGAATTGTTTGAACCTGAGAGGCGGAGGTTGCAGTGAGCCAAGACTACGCCACTGCACTCCAGTCTGGGCGACAGTGGGAGATTCTGTCTCTGGAAAAAAAAAAAAAAGATTCAGAATAGGCAAATCCATAGAGAAAGAAAGAATCGTGGTTGCCCAAGGGCTGGCAGTGGTGGAAGAGGGGAGGGAAGCTTGGGATTTGCTAATGAGTACAAGGTTTATCTATTTATTTTTTTGAGACAGGGTCTCACTCCATCGCCCAGGCTGGAGTGCAGTGGCCTGATCATGGCTCACTACAGCCTCGACCTCCTGGGCTCAGGTGATTCTCCCACCTCAGCCTCCCAAGTGGCTGGGACTATAGGTGTGCACCACCATGCCCAGCTAATTTTTGTAAAGACAGGGTTTCACCATGTTGCCCAGGTTGGTGTCGAACTCCTGGGCTCAAGTGATCTGCCCACCTTGGCCTCTCAAAATGCTGGGATTACAGGCATGAACCACCATGCCCGGCCTGAGTGAGTACAAGGTTTCTTTTGGGAACACTAAAAATATTCCAAAATTGATGGTGGTGATGATTGCACAACTCTGGGACTATACTGAAAACCTAAAACTAAAAACTAAAATTTGACTAAAATGAAGCTGTACGCTTTAAATGAGTGAATCCTATGGGATATAAATTATCTCAATAAAGCTATTACCAAAAAAAAAAAAAAAAAAAAGAATAATGGAACTGCAGATTCCCGTCCTCCCCTATTTCCCAAATTCTAAGTAAGGTTATTTTGTCATTATTGCTACTTTTAGTTCCTCAGTCCGAAGTCCTTCTTCATTTCTGACCCAAATCCCTACCAGGGTTGGAGATCTTTGGAAGAAGGGGAAGCAGCTGGTCCTCTCCTCCGGGGAAGTAAGCCCTAGGAAATGCAGCAGACTGTGTTTTTAGCCTTACTTCCTCTCTCATCCTCACAACTTCTCAGCAATCAATATTGTTATTTTTCACTCACAGATGTGCAAACCCACGACATAGAAATAATTATTTGAGGGGAGGGAGAAATCCCGGGTGGCATCCCCTCTGTCCCGGTCCTGTATACCCTGGGACATGTCACATCCTCCCCCTGGACCTCAATTTGCTCATCTGAGAAAGGAGGTGAGGCCAGATGGCCTTTGGGTTTCCCCCAGTTCTGATGTGCTACACTCCTCTAAGGTCAGAGACAGGAACCAGGAGGCCACGACTGGAAAGTCCAGGCAGAAGAGAACTGCGGAGCCAGCCCAGGGAAGGACAGAAGTGGAAAAGTCACCACAGACAGGAACAAGGTAGGGATGGACGCTGAACTCTGGGGTGAGACAATCCGTTGCCTTTGAGGCCTCCGTGTCTCCAGTGTCCGCTACCATGTCACCTCCCGGGATGGCCCTCGGCCCACCCTGTGGGAAGCTGGGCCCAGGGGAGAGCCCTGGGAAGAGGAACTGCAGGGGGAACAGGCTGGTTGTGCTGGGGAAGAGCATGCACTCCAGGAATGCAAACCCTTGCAGCTTCCATATTTTATTTTTGTGATTTTCTTTCTCTCTCAGCTTCCTGGCACACAGCTTCCCTGCTAAACAACTCAGCTGTAGTCCAAAGGAAAGAGATTTGTCTACTCCTACACCAGGATAAGGAGGAGATTCCAAGGTGCTTCAAACTTTATTGATTGTGCCCTTGTTCAGGTTAAAAAAAAAAAAAAATCTTAAATAAGCAGGTCCAATATACATATTTGATTTATAAATTACATACCTCTACTGTTGAATGGATACAGTACGTCCATTCTAAAGCACATAAGATGGAAAATGTGAAGGAACGAGACAGACCCATGTAACTTCTAATATTTTCTTCCTGCGCCCCAGGGAAGTGTTGTGTACCCTACCCAGCCCCTGTGGAGCCTGCCCAGCTAAGCACCCTGGGCACTGAGCAGGGAAGCTGCGGGCAGAGTGTGCACGGAAACCTCAGCAGCCAGTGAGGAATGGCTGGAGGTTTTCTCGGGTGCTCTTCTTCCTTCTGCTGCAGGTTGTTTTAAATGGGACAGTTCCTTGACAAACACACAAAGGCCAAAACAGAGAGACGGCAACACTGAGAGGGAGGAAAGAAACAGAAGAGAGAGGGAGGCCGAGGCGGGCGAATCATGAGGTCAGGCGATCGAGACCATCCTGGCTAACACAGTGAAACCCAGTCTCTACTAAAAATACAAAAAAACTAGCCGGGCGAGGTGGCGGGCGCCTGTAGTCCCAGCTACTTGGGAGGCTGAGGCAGGAGAATGGCGTGAACCCGGGAGGCGGAGCTTGCAGTGAGCTGAGATTGCACCACTGCACTCCAGCCTGGGTGACAGAGCGAGACTCCGTCTCAAAAAAAAAAAAAAGAGAGGAGAGACTGAGGGTGACGAAAACTGACAGAGGCAGAGACTAAAGGCTGAAAAACAAGAGCAAGGGAGGACTCATCCCAGCAGGTGGGATGTGATCCCAGCCAGAAGTCATCCCCACAAACAGGGGACTGACAGGAAGAAGCGCCTCAGTGAGTACTGGGGTCAGTAGGGCAGGGCAGGGACTCCCTGGAGTCTCACCCCAGGAACTGTGCTTCCTGTAGTCACAGTACTCCACCTTCTGCGGCCGCGGATAGAAGATGTAGGCACAGCCACACTCCTTGATCATGTTCTCCTGGAAGCAAGAGTGAATACACACCTGGAAGGGAGGAGGGTGGAGAGGAGAGGGGGTTCGGGACTGAACTCAGCAGTTCTCTGCACAGAGCCTCCATCCTCTTTCCACCACCCCCCAGTTTCCCTCTCTCTCACACACACACAATCCCTCCAGCTTTGCAGGACCAGCCAGGGCAGGCCTGGGAGTGGCTGCCACAGAAGCAGGTTGGGCCTCACCTGCTGCGTGTACTTTGAAGGGTAAAGGTTCTTGACAGGGACATCACTGCCATTCTTGGTGCAGTCGCCATAGTCGCCCCCAAGTCTGTCCAGGGCTTCCTATGAACCCACATACACCAAGAGATCAGAGGACAGAGCAAGTGCCTCCGGGTTCTCTCCCTTCCCTCAGTTCCAGGTTGTATCTCACACCGGCCAGCCCCTCCTACCAGCCTCACCCTCTCAATACATGCCTCCAGCCACCTCATGCCTACCCACTGCTCGTTTCAAGGCCACTGGGCCCAGAGCATCCCCAGAAATCCTAAGCATGCCCTGAATGCCTTCTCAGCACTTGTCCCCCAAGGTCCACCCTGCAGGGCCTTACTTCCCAGTGCCAGCCCCTCTGCCCCTCATTCCTGCTCCTGAAGACCTCCACATGCTCAAGGCCCACCCCACACGCTCTCCCTCCGCAGCCTCCCATGCCTCCCCCCTGCCCCTCTGCAATCTGAGGCTCTCCTTCCAGGCCTCCCAGTCAGCATCCTTGCCTTCCTCATGCTGATGGAGGTCTCCACGCCAGGCCGCAAGTTAAAGCCACCATCATCCATAAAGGCAGGTTCATCCTGCCCGTGCACCATTACCCGGGCCCCAGTCACTGTGGACAGCAGGGGAATGAAGTCATTCTGCTCTGTGCGCAGCATCAGGGACAGACCTAGGGGTGCAGAGAGAGCAGAGTTGGCAGAGGCGGGAATCCTGGAGAAGAGTTAGAAGATGGAAATCCACTCTCCTTTCCTTGCCCAGTCTCCAACACTGCAAGAGGAGCAAGTTCAGGAAGACCCACAAAGGGACCTGGCAACCCATGGGCTGGAATCTGGAGGCAGGAGGAAGACCTGGGACAGGATTCCTCTCATGCCTGGAACGGACTATGTGGCACCTGTTGGGGAGAGAGAGCACAGGGGACCCCTCCCAGCAGTTCTAGGAGGTGAGCTCAAGGTAAGTACACGGGAGTGGCTGAGGCAGTGGGCGCCATGGAGCAAGCGGGGAGTTGCTCACCGTTGTTGACTCCAGGCATGGAAGACATCCAGAGGTTAGAGTTGTTCTTGTCATTGAAAGTATAGCAGTTTCCATACACTGGGTGGTGGAAGTGAGAGTAATTCCTTATCAGGAAAGAGAGAGTAGGGTCAGAGAGGAAAGTGTAGGTGGTCCAGGGAGCAGGGAGATGAGGCAGAGAGAATTCTCCACTCCCTTAAACTCCTACAGGACTTGGGCTTTCAGAGTCGTTTGTTTCCTGATCACCTACCATGTGCTGGCACAATGCTGAGAGCTTTACTCACACTCCCTCAGTCACTCCAACCAACAGCCTGTGAGAGTCGCATCCTCATATCACAGAGGAGGAAGCTAAGGCTCAGAGAGCTCCAACAGCCGGCCCAAGGTCCCACTGCGATGATGAGCCTGGGGGTTCACACCTAGGTCATCTACCTTCTAGCCCAGGCTCCTCTCACCAGGCCATCTAGGCTTACCGGCCTTGACTTCCGTGCTGCCTTGTAACTTCTCTCTTGTTGCACTACAAAGATTCTTGCATGTCCCTAACTGCCCATGTGTCTAAATGTTAGTTCCCCATTGAATCATGAGCTCCTTGATAACAGCAGCCACATCTCATTCATCTCTGTGTCATCTCTAGGTTAGCTGCATAGTTCCTGTCATCTAGGAGATAGAGGAGATGATTAATAAATAGTTGTTGAGTGAGGAATGAACGAATGAATGAATGAATGAAGTGGGGAGGTGGAGGGGAGCAGGGTTAAAGGAGAAAGTGTGAGCAGTGGTGAGCACAGAGCTGAGGGGAGGACAATCAGTACCAAGCGTTTCCGGGCAGCCTCTTGCATCGGCATGTCTCAGAATGGTAGGTCCAAAACTCATCTGTGACAGGTGTGGGGACAGAGAGAATGCAATCACAGAGGCATCACGGCTGCAGTAGGACTGCAACTTCACAGCAAACCACAGGTTCCAGAACAGGGAGCCTGTGTGGGGTAAAGCACAGCACGTGTGCCACACAGCGCAGAGAGGATCTGTGTTCTGCTACCCTGCCATCTTGGAGCTAATGACGGGAGCAGGGCAAAGAGGGAAAGGGGACTTCGGCCAGTGAGCAGCAGAGGAGGAATAAAGAGAAGAGGGAGAAGAGGCTGGCCAGAGATAAGGAGTGGGGTTCTGGTTGTACGGCCTTGAGCAAGTCATTGTTTCTAAGCTTATTCTCCTCCTCTGTAAAATGTAGGATGGTTCTGTGAAATGATGAGATTGGAACCAGATGATCCGGGATATTCCATTGGCCCTTGAAGAACACAGGCACAGAGGCATGACATACTGGTGCCCATTCTAGGAGGTACTGGGAAGTCAGCACTTCTAGAACCCAGATTAGATGCAGGGAAGGACTGAAGGAGAGGCTACAGAAGTGGCCAGTCCTGAAGGCTGGAGAGCCCTTTGCACACAGAGAGGGGACAAGCACAATGTGGTGGGTGCCACCCCCATGGAAAGCAGGCACAGGTTCAATCAGCAGGTGAGGTGGAGCAACATGGATGGATTTTAAAGCATAGAGCTTCGTTGAATTAAATAAATAAAAAGTGGCGGGGCATAGTGGCTCACACCTGTAATTCCAACACTTTGGGAGGAGGCTGAGGCGGGTGGATCAGTTGAAGTCAGAAGTCCGAGACCAGCCTGGCCAACATGGTGAAACCCCGTCTCTACCAAAAATACAAAAATTAGCCAGGTGTGGTGGCGGGCGTCTATTACCTCAGCTAGTCAGGAGGCTGAGGCAGAAGAATCGCTTGAACTTGGGAGGTTCAGTGAACTGAGATTGCACCACTGCACTCTACAGTGAGACTCTGTCTCAAAAAAAAAAAAAAAGTAAGAGGTGAAATGGGATCTATAACACAGTACCATTTATGTAAATTAAATACAGATTTTGCAAAAACACATAGAGATACACACTAAGCACATTAATATAGTGGCCTATGAGAATCAGTATAATGTGGTGGTTAAGAGCACACTCAGCCGGGCGCGGTGGGTCATGCCTATAATCTCAGAACTTTGGGAGGCCGAGGGGGGTGGGGTCACCTGAGGTCAGGAGTTTGAGACCAGCCTGGCCAACATGGTGAAACCCCATCTCTACTAAAAATACAAAATTAGCTGGGCATAGTGGTGCATGCCTGTAATCCCAGCTATTCAGAAGGCTGAGGCAGGAGAATCACTTGAACTTGGGAGGCAGAGGTTGTGGTGAGCTGAGATTGCGCCATTGCACTCCAGCCTGGCCAGTAAAAGCGAAACTCCATCTCCAAAAAAAAAAAAAAAAAAAAAAAGAGCACAGACTCCAGAATTAAATTCCTTGTATTTGAATCCTGGGGCTCTAACAAGTATTAGATGTGGGACCAAACAAGTTACTTACTTAATCTGTACCTCAGTTTCCTCAGCTGTAAAATGGGGATAATAAAAATATCAACCTCACAGGGGTGTCGAGCATGAAATTATGCTTAGAATGGTGTTTAGCCTTAGTAAGAGCTGTATTAGCTCACTAGCACAATTACAGGGATTCATTAAGATGGCTAAAGTCGAAAACACAGAAAACAACATGAGGAGGATGTAGAGAATTTAGAATCTTCATACATTGCTGGGCCGGGCGCGGTGGCTCAAGCCTGTAATCCCAGCACTTTGGGAGGCCGAGACGGGCGGATCATGAGGTCAGGAGATCGAGACCATCCTGGCTAACACGGTGAAACCCCGTCTCTACTAAAAATACAAAAAACTAGCCGGGCGAGGTGGCGGGCGCCTGTAGTCCCAGCTACTTGGAAGGCTGAGGCAGGACAATGGCGTGAACCTGGGAGACGGAGCCTGCAGTTAGCCGAGATCGCGCCACTGCACTCCAGCCTGGGCGACAGAGCGAGACTCCATCTCAAAAAAAAATGAATCTTCATACATTGCTGTTGGGAACGTTAAATGGTACAGCCGTTTGGAAAAGTCTCGCAGTTCCTCAGAATGTTAAATATAGAGTTACCACATGACCCCGCAGTTCCACTCGTAGGTGAACACCCAAGAGAAATACGAACATAGATCCATACAAAAACATGTACAGGAACGTTCCCAGCAGCATTATTCATAATAGCCAAAAAGTGGAAACAATCCAAATGTCCATCAACTGAGAATGGATAAGCAAAAATGTGGGCCGGGCGTGGTGGCTCACACCTATAATCCCAGCACTCTGGGAGGCCAAGGCAGGAGAATGGCTTGAGCTCAGGAGTTAGAGATCAGCCTGGGCAACATAGTGAGAGCTAGTCTCCACTAAAATTAAAAAAAAAAATAGCTGGGCATGGTGGCCTGAGCCTGTAGTCCCAGCTACTTGGGAGGCTGAATCAGGAAGACCGTTTCAGCCCAGGAAATCAAGGCTGCGGTGAGGTCTGATCATGCCACTGTACTCCAGCCTGAGTGACTGAGTGAGAACCTGTCTCAAAAAAAAAAAAAAGTGGTATATCTACACAATGTAATAGTATTCAGCCATAAAAATGAAGTTCTGATCCAGCTACAACATGGATAAGTTTTGAAAACGTTATGCTAAGTGAAAGAGGCCACTCACAAAAGGCCACATATTGTAAGATTCCATTTATGTGAAACGTCCACCATAGGCAATCCATAGAGACAGAAAGCAGAAGAGTGGCTCTCAGGGCTTGGAGGAGGGGAGAAAATGGGGAAGAACTGCTAATGGGTACAGGGTTTCTTTCTGGGGTGAGGAAAATGTTCTAAAAACAAGTCGTGGTGGCCGGGCACGGTGGCTTACGCCTGTAATCCCAGCACTTTGGGAGGCT